AGAATCAACTACAAGCACCACCGTCTAGTTTACAACATCTTGCATCTTTTCATCGGATGGTTGCATGAATTGAATAGGCAGTACCCTATAGATCGGGCGGTGGCTCCCGCCATTAAGCTGTAATACTTCGTGAACCAAAAACTAGCTATATTTTTTTCCTTTTAATAGTGAGGTTGAGGACACGTACCTTGTAGTGAAGGGCTCAATTTTTACTCGTGCCTTGATTTTAGCCACCAATCAGATAACCTCTTTCTGGTTAATTCTACACGCTAAAAGTCTATTTTGCCATCTCTGCCCCTAAAACCCAGTGCTTTGAAAAACTCTGCACCATCAACCTGAACTATAGGGTGAAGGCCTTTACAGAACATTATCAAGTGTTCGGCAGTTTCCTCTTCCTCTCCACACGCACTGCATGCCGTGTCTACCCCTTCGTATTTGGCCCAATATGTCTTGGTTCGCAATACTCCCGTCCTGGCCTCAAACATCAGCGAACTACCCCGAGTATTATCATAGATCCTTTCCTTGGCAATTTGCTTCTTAGAAGGTCGCTGGATCTCTATTGCGGACTTATTTATGCCGATTTTTCACATATCTGTCTCAGCTTCCTTCACATTCTTTTCAACCAATTATTATTTTTGGTTTGGCCCCCTGCTGTTTTCTAACTATTTACCAGTCAATTTTCTGGTTCATTTCCTCGATTTTGTATTGGCATTCTTCATGTACAAGTAGCTGAATACCTTCCTAGCCCAACGCTCTTTGCCCATTTCTCTCAATCACTTCTTAAATTTTATCTTGCTGCTAGCTTCTCTACCCTCGAATGATGTCTATCCCAGATCACCTTGTACTCCCTGATTTGGTGTATTCCCGTGAGCTCCTAAGCAAGCCTACCTAATCCACGTTGCTTAATTTCAATTCTTGCTTGAACTTCTGATCTCATGCACAAGATCGCATTGCTGAACGTCAGACCAGAAACCATGACCCCTTTTCATAATTTTCACACAACATCATATCTATTGTAGTTCCACAGTGTCCTGTTTTTTATTACCGCTTCATTCCTGTTACTTTTAGTCGTGACGTATATTTCCTGTTCCCTTAGGTACTCGCCCCCCCCCCCCAAGCATGACTTTCTGCATTCTAAGCTCACTACCTTCATTAACGTTAAAAAACGTGACTGCTAATTTTTCCTCACTGAATCTGAAATCTAACCTATCTCCCTCATTACCACAGATGTCCATGGATCTCTGCAAATCTTTCTTGTTGTCGGTCATTAGCACTATATCATCTGCGTACATCGATGCTGGTAGTGCCTGATCAATGAGTTTTCTTTGTTTAACGAAAGAGAGGTTGAAGCCAAGTCTACTTCTCTCTAATTTGGCTTCTCCCTTTTTAGTACGTCATGAATAACAAGGATGACAGAGGACAACCCTGCCTAAGCCCCCGTTTTACCTCTGTGGGCTTGCATACCCGTTTTTCCCACTTTATAACTACCTTGTTACCTTTATAGATATCTTTAAAAGATTAGTGACTCCATGTTCCACAGCTAGTGCGTCCAGTATTTCCCACAAGTTCTCTTGAACCACGCTATTGTGCTCTCTCTTGATACCCAAAAATGCTAGCCACTGGGGCCTGCGTTCTTTTTCTGCTATTTCGATGGACTGCGTCAGTAAGAACAGAGTCTCTTCCAATCTCCTGTGTTTCCGAAACCCATTCTGCAGTTCCCCCAGCATCCCCTCATCCTCTATACATGCCTGGAGTCTTTCCTTTGTATTCTGCATTGCTAGCCTATGAACCACTGATGTCACTGTTCTGGGACTTCACTGTATATAGGATGTCACTGTTATATCATATAAAAGTACCGCCATCTAATGAACACTGCAAGAACTAAACGATAGGAGGCTACATTAGGAGACAGTACTGTCATCTAGTGAACACTGCATGAGCTAAACGAGAGGTCGCTACATACAAGGGACGCACAGCCCACGCTATAACGAGTTTCGCCCCTAAAGTGGCAACTGATACATCTGTTTAGCGTTGCATAAGGCTAGTAATGTTCCGGCTGGCAAATTTTTTCCGCCATTCATGCCCATGAAAGCATCAATTTTTCGCTCATTGCAAGGAATGGAAAGGGGGCTTTCTGTACTAACAGCCAGAAAGTAGTAAAAGATAGTTCTCCAGGGAGCTTCTCTATGTTACGATATAAGTATCAAGCAGAACATGCGCAACACCCGAAATTTATGTTCAGAGGTGTCCACTGTTAAAGGGAACGCCATAGCACGTGTCATCTGCTCTGGTGTTTTTTTTTTATAAACCACCAGACTTTATGGCCACGTGATCAAGTAGAGAAGGTGACATTTAAGATCCCCTGAAACGGGTTAGCAAACCTCGCCAGCTATCAATCGTGTCTCTCAACTCATCACATTCGCCCTGTATGAATAACAGATATGAATAGCACCAGCCGTGAATAAAGCTACCAGCTGGAGAGTAAAGCCCCGAAAAGGAGGCCATCTTAGCACTTCAGTTGAAGGAAGAGTGCACGATGTAAAGCAGAGGTGGATAAAGGGAAGTAGCAGGACAGGAAGCTTACACATGCCGCAGGGGCTTCTGACATCAATATCTAGCCAGCACAGAACGATCGCCCAATGTTGGGGACGGTTCGGCAGTTCATGACCCGAAAATGACCCAGGTATGGCAACGCACACCCAATAGTGGTTGAGCCAGCCGAATAGAACGGCAATGTTGGACCAGCATTGACAACATACCGCCAGTATTGGCTTTGCCAGCCGAATAGAACGGTAATGTTGGAGCAGCATTCAGAACTTCCCGCCATTAATAGCTGTGCCAACGTATTATAACGGCCACAATGGACCGAATTGTACAACCAGCAGCCAATTTGGGTGGACCAATGCAATTAGGCTTGTAATATTGGCCCGTCACTCGAACGTTTTTGCCGGCGTCAGCTAAAAAGTCAACTTCGTTGGCATAACATTGGACCAGTATGAACTGATTTCTGCGTCTGCTGCTTTTGGCGCTTTTCTGGTCGCACTCACCTGTCAATTTTTCAAGTTTGAGAGAGTAATATGCTGGGTGCATAGGTAATATATTTTTGTCATTAAATCATGCACTCCTAGTTGGTATGCATCCTTGTTGATTAGAGTTGCGCAAGGTAGACTGTTTTTCTGATAAACATTTATCGAGTTTGTCGCCTGTCAGACGTCCGATGCGGTGCTTTCACAGATGAAAATTGTGCAGATCTGTGCAACGAAGCAACCGTGGATTCCAGTGCTGTACGTGAACCACTTCGACGTGACCCGGCGCGCGCGTGCGCTGGCGTTCGTTTCGTCGCATCACGCCGGCATTGCCACACCAAGTGCTTTCGATTTCGTGGATATCGGACGCAAAGCGTATTGTATCGTGTGTCCTGCTACGCTATCGCCACGACCGTTTTCGTTTTTTCGCGTTCACAGCGCTGTACCAGTCAACGGCACACAAGTGCTTGACGTTTGGGAACTGGAGTTATCAGTTGCGTTAAGGTGATTGAATCGTACAACACACGCATTTGCCGTAATCTGACACGTACGCACCGACGCCCGCATCATGTATCGCAATGACTACTCGATATACCTACAACATTGCAGCGAGCGGTTCTTAAAAGTGTGGTGGAGTGCGTGAGCGTCTAGCACCTTGCCCCCGTGGGTCGTCGCGAGTTACAATATTGTTGTGGAACGTTGTTTCTTGATTGTTTTGATATATATACATGAGCTAGCTTACGCAGTAAGTAGTTCTTATTGAACCAACAGTACGACGCGCAAAAAAAAACGTTTCCGTTAGTTCATATGTGCTAATGCACAAAACACATAACACGTAGGCTAAATCGCTTATAAACAAGAAACACGCATGCTTACGGCGTCGTGTTGTTGTGATAAGATTAGTTTACCGTTCCGGCGCCTGGGGGCGTCGATGTTGCAAGGAAATAAATACGGCGCACATGACCAGCCAGTCAGTGTGTAACCCGGCAACGTACCTGTGTGTGATTCGGTCCAGCGACCGGCATGGCTCAGGACTATACGGTTATCACAAGTGGCGACGAGCGTGGGACTGACGAACCGGACGGGCACAGCACAATCACACGTCATGCCTGTCGTCGGGAAGCTGGATCCGTTCGACCCGAGTACATCGGAGTGGGCGGAATACCGTGAGCAGGCCGAGCTGTACTTCATCGCGAACGACATCCCGAGCGACAAGCAGACAGCCGTATTTTTGACATACTGCGGTCCAGAGACTTATTCTCTGCTACGAAGCCTCCTAGCACCAAGCAGGCTCGCCCAAGCAGGACTGACCAAAATTTTTACCACACTTGGCAAGCACTACGCCCCTCGCGTATCAGAAGTAGTGGCAAGTTTCAAGTTTTTCTCAAGACATCGAAAAGAGGGGGAGACCGTAAGTGACTACATTGCCTCGTTGAAGAAATTAGCCGAAGACTGCAATTTCGCAACGTTTCGAGAGCGCATGTCGCACGACCAGATAGTCAGCGGAATCAATGACGTAACCATGCAAACACGGCTGTTGTAAACGACGTGTTTAACCTTCGAAACTGCAAAGGACACCGTCGTAGCTATGGAGGCTGTGCGTAAAGATTCACGCACATTAAGCTGTCAGCAAGCACAGCTACTATCTCGCGAAGCTCCGGAGCAAGCGAACGTTGTCACCTCGAGGAAAATTGATAGCTGTTGCTTCCGTTGCGGGGGATGTCATTCCGCGCGTCGGTGTAAGCACGGCAGCACGATCTGTAACAACTGCCGCCAAAAAGGGCACCTTGCAAGAGTTTGCAGAGTTCAGCCGGGAAGTAGAAATTTCGACCGGAGCCAGTCTAGTCGCGTAAACAACCTGGGCGACCTGCCCGTCTCTGCTGAAGAGCCCGAAGTTTTCGACTTGTGGACGCTTCACACGGCTAGTTCGGAGCCAATGCGCATAGCGGTTGAAGTTAATGCATAATGCTCGATATGGAGTTGGACACCGGTGCTAGTGTGTCGACCATTGATGATGGCAAGTTTGCCGAGCTTTTTCCGTCGGTGCCGTTGGAGCCATCGAGTGTGCAGCTGAGAAGTTTTTTCGGCGACATGAAACGCGTCCAGGGAAAGCTCGAAGCAATGGTCAAACTTGGCGACAAGGAGCGCCAGCTACCACTATTTGTCGTGAAAGGGGCGTGTCCTACGCTGTTTGGACTAAGCTGGATGAAGGCCTTCAAGCTAGGCATCGCTCAGACGGTGGGAGTCAACGTCGTGAAGTCTACGGAAGACCTGGTAAGCCACTATCACGAAGTTTTTTCGGAGCAGCTTGGCACGTTTCACGGCGTTACAGCGTCTATATCCGTACAAAAGGGGGCGAAGCCACGTTTTGTCAAGGCACGTCCGATACCATTTGCTTTGCGCGATAGGGTTTTTGAAGAACTACAGAGGATGGAACGGGAAGGCGTTATCGAACCGGTGAAAATTCCCAGCGGGCCGTGTCCATCGTTCCTGTATTGAAGCACGACGGCCGAGTTCGGGTCTGCGGTGATTTTAAGACTACCATAAACGCGGTGACAGTCGTCGAGTCCTACCCTATTCCCAGGATTGAGGAACTTTTTGCGCGACTTACAGGGGGCAAAAAGTTCACAAAGCTTGACTTGCAAGATGCCTACCAGCAGGTTGCACTCTATGAGGAGTGCCAAGAGCTAGTCACCCATAACACTCCGAAGGAGTTATACCAATTCACAAGGCTGCCGTTCGGGGTTTCATCAGCTCCGGCTATAATTCAGCGAGAGATGGAAAGTCTGTTGCACGACCTTAACCATGTCGTAGTGTACTTTGATGATATTCTGGTCACAGGATCCAGTGACAAAGAGCATTGGGAAAATTTGGGCCGAGTGTTGGATCGCCTGAAGACCGCGGGACTGTGACTGAGTTTTTTCCAAATGCGAATTCATGAAACCAGAAGTCCAGTACTTGGGCCATATCATTAGTGCGGCTGGGCTGCATCCAAACCCGGCTAAGAATGAAGCAGTGCTGGAAGCCCCCGCATTCCGAGTGGTCAAGGAACTTCAGAGTTACCTCGAGTTGGTTACTTTTTACAGAAGGTTTTTGCCGAACCTTTCTGCCGTATTACAGCCACTCAATAGTTTGTTGGCGTCGGGAACACCATGGCGCTGGGAAACTGATGAAAAGCAGGCGTTTCGGAGAAGCAAGGAGCTATATACCTCTGCTGCTATATGGCACAATTTGACCCAGGAAAGCCAACTGTGCTTGTCACTGATGCATCTCCTTTCGGGATTGGAGCAGTACTGGCGTAACGAGAGTCATCTGGAGAAGAGCGCCCCATTGGTTTTGCCTCCCGCAGCCTGGCAACCGCGGAGAAAAACTACAGCCAATTAGATAAGGAGGCAATGAGCCTTGTATTTGGCGTTACAAAGTTCAGGCAGTACTTATGGGGCCGGCAATTCGAAGCCGTCACAGATCCCAAACCGCTGCTCGGCTTGCTCGCAGCAGACAAGCCAGCTCCCGAATCCTGTTCTCCGAGAGTGCAAAGGTGGGCCTTGCTGTTGTCGGGATACAGTTATGACCTGAAGTATAGGCCGGGTTCACAAATTGCGCATGCCGATGGGTTAAGCCGGCTACCTCTGCCAACTGCCGAATTTGTTGTTGACTGCCCTGCCGAAGTGTTAATGCTGGAAGGAGTATACCCAGGGGTGCTGTCGTCAAATGCTGTTGCGGCAGCCACCTCCAGAGACCCGGTGCTGTCACAAGTAAGAGCAGCGTTGTGGTCAGGCTGCCAGATAAACCTAGGGTCCGAGGAAAGACCCTACGAGACGCGCTTTCATGAGATGAGCGTGCAAGGGAACTGTCTATTGTGGGGCAACAGAGTCATTGTTCCAAAATCCTTGCAAAAGAAAGTCCTCCAGCTGCTGCATGAGAGTCATCTAGGACTGTTCAAAATGAAGGCAGTTGCGCGTAGCTATGTGTGGGGGCCTAGCCTGGATAACGATATAGCGATAACCATTCAAAGATGCCGTATTTGCCAGGAGCATCAAAGAGTGTCACGACCAGTGCCTGTCAGGCCATGGCCGTTCCCGGAGAAACCATGGTCATGGCTGCATATGGACTATGCTGGTCCTTACAGGAACACCTATTTTGTTATCGCAGTCGATGCGTTTTCAAAGTGGATTGAAGTGTTCCCGGTCTCCACACCCTCGGCTGAAGCAACTATTTCCTGCATGCACAGTATGTTCGCAAACCAAGGCCTTCCAGATGTGGTCGTGTCGGATAATGGGCCAGCATTTACCAGTGAGCTTTACTCCACATTCCTCAAGAAAAACGGGGTGAGGCGAATGCTGGTGCCGCCGTATCATCCAGCGTTAAACGGTGCTGCAGAGCGGGCCGCGCAGACTGTCAAAAACAAGTTGCGGAAGGCTGGCCCTGGAGATATTCGCACTCAAATTGCCCGCATGCTCCTAACATACAGGTCAACGCCTCACAAGGTCACGGGTTGCTGTCCGTCGGAGCTGTTGTTGGGGCGGAAGCTGAGGACTGCGTTGGACCTGCTACACCCAGGCCTCAGGGCCAAGGTGCTACAGAAGCAACTTAAGCAGAAAATGAGATGCGACCAAGGAACAAGACCCAGGGTTTTGGGCCACCCGGGTGACCAGGTGTTCGCAAGGAACTTCCGTCCAGGAGCTGCGTGGCTCCTTGCAGTCGTCACCGAACAACGCACTTCGTCCATGGATGTTCTACTGCAAGACGGACGACGGTTAACTCGACATCTGGATCACATCCACCAGGCCCCTGAGGAACTGAGTGCAGACAACCAAAAATCAGGCAGCCCAGTATCTACTGGTCTTGGTCCAAGCTTGGACGTGGGTCAGACGCAGCTAACTGGTCTTGCTCCAGGCTTGGACGTAGGTCAGAGGCAGCTACCTCCGGATCGTCTTCACGACACAGAGTCTAGGCAAGATCCCAGGGAAGACGTGGGAAGGGAACCGGAACTTGCTGTCACAGCACCCACTACTCCTGTCCTGCGTCGAAGTACCATAATTCGACGACCAGTATCGCGCTACGGACCTTAAACAAGTGTTTGCAACCATTAATAAAGGGGGGAGGAATGTGATAAGATTAGTTTGCCGTTCCGGCGCCCGGGGGCGTCGATGTTGCAAGAAAATAAATACGGTGCACATGACCAGCCAGTCAGTGTGTAACGCGTCAACGTACGTGTGTGTGATTCGGTCCAGTGACCGGCATGGCTCAGGACTATCCGGTTATCACAGTTGTTTTATCAAATACAGAACCACAGACCCCTCTCCTTCCTTCCTCCTGCTTTTCTTTAGGTCTGAGGAAAGAAGGAAGTGCTCTGCTTAGATCTGGCAAGCTTGTTCCATTAAAGTAGAGAGTTTTATTTCAAACTCGCTGTCCTTCAATAATTTTTCTTGTAGTGAGGTGGCTAAGGCCAGCTAGCAGCCTTTCGAGAAATCAATGGACCTACAAGTTACAAACTGGAAAATGTGTCAAAATTGCTGTAATTTCCAGAACATGAGGAGGATCATTTGGTAGCTGGTGTCAGGACTGGTCCACACAAGTGAAAGGCAATATCTATGAACAAATCTTCAGCTACAAGTGAGTCACTGTTTGTAGTACTGAATACTGTTACCTTTGTTGTAAGCAGCTGTGCATTTTTTCTGTATAGTTGGCATGAGCTACCTTGCAATTTCTTTCTCACAGTGTTTCTCAATCTAGCTCAGTCATAATTTTAGAGTCTCCTTTCTCCAGACTCATTGCAGAAGAGCAAACAGTATTGTTGTGATCAGCGAATAACTAGTTCATTTGTCCTAATTACCTCGCATTCTGTGTGCAATTTTGTGGTGTATATGTCTTCAGGACGTCCTATTATCAGTGGGAGAGTCAAACAGAACTAAAAGCAAGGAACTGCTCAGCTGGCTAAAGTAGCTGGCGCATATCACTCTTTCCATATTTTTTATCGTTTTGACTTATACAGCTCTACACACATGAAGTTTTTATTGATTTTCATATTCATGTGGCATGTGAACATGTTTCCTCAAGGCTTTTCAAACTGTAACGACCTTTTTCATTTTTAGTTTGACATGCACATCAAGATATTTACCTTACCTGTATTATAAATGGCTGAAATGGTCTCGTCCACCGGAGAGGCAGTTTAATTGATGAGCTACTGAAGGTACAAAAGTGCAAGATGTGTGCTTCATAATTAATTCAGTGGTGTATCCAAGGAATGGGACACTGGGCGAATGGCCCGCCCTTCAAATTTTCGGCAATAGAATACCGAGAACCAAATAACACATTCTCGACTTGCATGCACTGAAGACCAAAGACGTCATTTTTCTATCCCTCCACCACACAAAGTTCCACCTATATCACAGGTTATAAGTCCATGGCCCATGTTCAAGAATTTTTTCAAGGTTTATGCGATCTTATGTTTTCAAATGGAGACATTTTTCCAAGAAAAACATATATAATACTTTAGCATCAGTGGCGGCATTTGTGTATGCAATTTGTTTATGCTAGCTGTGTAAACTTGAGGCCAGAATAGAGTAAAGTGCATAGTTCGTTAGATGAACTGAACTTTCTCCCTAGTCAGTGTGTCCCGACTTGACCTCAGTCTGCTGCGCAAAACCGTAGCTGATCACTCTTTTAAAGGAACTGTTATCTTTGATAGGTCGTACAAATCGTTTTCTAAAACTAGCGCCAAGTGTTGCTTTTCTTCTCCCAAAATTAATGCAATGAAAAAGTAAATGCACACACAACCGGAGCTTATGATTTCATTCTTCTTATATGAAAACTAAATATAACTTACAGTACATTGGTGAAGTATTTAATTTCATAGAAATTGTATTGACTTGCTCAAGCTCACACAAAAGAACACATCATTTTCTTCCTTGCAATGTAATATTGAGTGGCTCGTGATTATGCTATCTGCATTCGCCACATTTTTGACAGTGCATCATAATTCACACCTGAAGGGGCTATTCTTAGCAAGTGTTAATAGTACTCTTTGCACGTGATTTGCAGCTAACTAAAAAAAGAGGCTTTGGCCTGTTGAGCTAGTAATACATGCTCAGGACATCGTCACTGCAAAGATGCACTAGCCGCAACCAAGAAAGGGCACACCTGCAGTGATTAGTCCACATTTTTCATGTTTTCTGCTGTGCAAATAAGGCTGGCTGAGTGAGCACTGCATCCGGTACCAGGAGGCTGCAGCGACAAAGTCCTTCTTACAAAACACTCACCAGCTGAGAGGAGAAGTACTGACGTGCCAATCATCCAAAACGGAATGCCGGAGAAAGGAGCAGCGATTACTTTTACAGTCCATAAAAACATGCTAAGAGTTCAAAGTTGTGACGCTGCTGATCTTCTCGCCAAGTAAAATAAGGGTACACTGAGAAAAGATTCTGAGGATAGGCCATCGGAAATTGCAAAACAAGAACCGACGGAGGTTCGTCTTCATCACATGAACAGGCTTCAACTGATAAGGCGAGTAAGTAACTGACAAAGAATGAGTGCACGAGCGAGAGCTGTCGCACGAGGTCGTCAGCAGTCAAATGACACATGTTGGAATTGGGGGTGGTGCTAAGGTAGGCACAGGTAGGCTACCCTGGAGCCCTCCTTCCCCAATTTCTGCCTGAGCCCTGTGTTGTGTTATGACTATGTGTTACGACTGTGTTACCAAGAGGTTACATAGTCGTTACAAAATGGCCAAGTTCCCCGCCTCTTTGCTTCTCCTGAAGAGCCTCGTTTATCGTGGGTGCACCCCCGGTATACACCAATCCTGGCAATGACACTGGCTAAAATACAATAATGTCACGGGGTCGTGACGTGGCCGAAAACAGGAGACTTCGGGTTAGGATTTAACTGTTTATTTGGGCGAACCTGTGCCCGGTAAACGGAAAGTCCAATTACAGCAGCAGTCTCGCACAGATAGCAGTCTCGGACTGATAGCGGCGAACGGAGCGTCGGCCTTCGATCAACAACCGACAAGCGGCGAAGCGCGTCGGCATTTTATACCCTTGCCGTCGAATGTTCTAGCGTTATCGCTGGCGGTGGAGTAGGTTCCAGAACAATCTGTACCGTTCGCACAGTGGGCGTGATCTTATCGAAATGATCTACTACAGTCTGGAACCTTCTCGAAAACTGCAGGCGCGGTTTGCGCTGAGAATAGTGTGGTGTTTTGGGACGATAACAAAAACTTGGGAAATGGAGCGTGGCAATAAGAACAATAGAAAACTCGAAGCAAAAGTTTCCATCATGCTTTGACTTCTTGCTTTGTGTGCATTTGAATCTAGCGAGAAGTATTTGGAACACCAAATAAAAGCACCACAGTCCACACCTTCTAGTACCTGCTTTCATAATAGTACAAAGTGCTGAAGAAGCATGCAAAGAGCCACCCTACGAAGCGAAATATTATAAGGCAGCAGGAGGCTGTGTGGCCCCGACAGAAAAACACCACAACAAAAAGAAAAACCTTTCAGGCATGCCAGCAGTTCATGCACAGCACTGAAAGGTCATGAAAACCTACCTTCAATGCCTTTCTAGCACAAGAACATTAAAAGGAATACACACTGATGGAGAAGGAAGCCATTACTCAAATCCGGCTCCTATGCACTGATGGGAGATACTTGGACCTGAATTCATAACAATGGCTTCATTACAACTCTTGAACATACCCTAAAAAGTGCGGACTGCAAGTGAACGAGACATGAAGGCAGACTACAATGCGACACATTAAACACGTTAACCACCAACGAGGAATATATGCTAGAATGGATGCCGCAAGAAAGTTTGAACACTGGGAACACTCAACGATCCCAACCGTAATCTCGATCTCACAAACACAATAAGAATGTTCCGATGACTTGCTGCCCATCGCCATGATGTGAAACATGGGCATATACACACACACACAACTCATCTTTACGTGATTAAAATACGCTTGCTTCCAGGTTTATAGAAAACGTCTCACCAAATTTCTCTCTAATAAGCTCACCACCTTCATCGTTGCTGGGAGTGTGTTCAAATTAAAGGAGACAGAGAGCACTGGTGGGGCTGCATGCTGATGGCGTTCTTCGAATAAATGAGCAATAGCCTACATGGTCATCTTTGACCACCTTTCACGTTTAGGCCATTTGTTATATTCACGTTGACATGTTAGTGTAGTAGTTCTGCTGAATGAAATGCATGAAAGACATAAATATCAATAAGGGAGGAATGTAAACTTTAAGACGCCTTTTAAATATTGCAAATTCAAACTGTGTTAGAAATAAAAAAAAACCAAATTGTTGCTTTAATGACACTGTGTATATTATAGAGAAATATTTCTACTGTGTTTTTACTATTTTTCTACATGCAATGAGTGGATAAAGCCAGGCTTGCCTAAGCTAAAGTAAGGCATGAAAGGTGATCAGAGAATGTCAATCAACGTGCTTTCTTGTATAGCCCCTGTCAGACTCGGCTCTCATGTTCAATATTATTATTATTATCAAATGTATTTAGATAGGGCTCACATGTTCCTCAAGTTATATGACCTTTAATAAAATTTTATGCTGTGCCTTGCTCGAAACAGTTTTTTCAATATAAAAAATGCCATCACTAGCTGTCCTCTTACTTGATTTGCCTTGAATGTATGTTTGATTCAGTGAACTGCAGGAAAATTTTCTGCATTCACTTCCTGTCAGTGACAAATTCGTTTAATTGCACTAAAGCTTCCGGGAGTCCAAATAGTAGCATTACTTCAGTGTGCTGGAGCTGACTCACAAAATCACTATTCAGGCAGAAGATACACAACAATTATGGCAACAGTGGAGTCAAAAAGAGCTCATACTAGTGGATTTTCACATAAACGAGTTGGAAAAGAACTACTATAACTAATCTTGAGATTCAGTAAGCTTTGTGGTTTTGAGATTTGCACGACAAAGAAGGAAAAAAGACTTTTGAATGACGTGCGTGAGCACAGGCTTCCTTATTGGTCCTGTGATGTTGTATAAAAAAAAAAGGAACCAATTGAGAAGGTGCAGTCAAAATGAAAAACAACCATGCATCAGCT